AAAAGCCGTCAGCGTGTGCAGGCCAACTGTTTGAATGAATTATTTGCAACTGATTTAGAACGAAAATTTATCAAATTAAAAATCCCTTTTGTAGAGACACAATCTAGGTAGCCTGCACATTCCGGCGGCATTCACCAAGATAAACAAGGACTAGCAAACCAACAATCAAACATGAACAACAAGTTGCGCTAGCGAGATATACCAATCAGTGCAACCACTCAAAGAGCGGCCGCTAGCCTTATTATATTATGCACTCGTTTATTAGACAGACTTTTTCGAGGAAAGTGTACAATTTTTTGAAAGCATGAAAGTTTCACCCCTGTGATAATTTGAATCACGGAAGCTGAAGCTGGGCATCCTTCCCCCTCTTCAAGTAACGATCGAGTCGCGTTCTTGCCTTCAACAACAACAACTCCAACCTCAAGCACCCTTGATCCCCAGAATGAGATCATTGCGGAAAAAGAAGGGTGGGAAAGTTTGGTACACAGACTGGGACTACTCGAGGCCATTCCCTGTAGAGTATGTGCCCTACAATTCTGTCACTACATTTCACACGTTTAAACAAACAACTAACGACGACGTGTAGATTGATGGAGAGATTTGCCGATCTGCCAAAAGAACTTCGACACCTTATCTACGAATACATCACATCATGGGCGCTTGACGAGCAGTACGCCAGAACCAAAGTTATACCAGGCAAGCCTATCAATTTTGCAAGGAGAAACAGGGTCCCACTCTACCAAGAGGTTTTTCTGCCAGGAGAGTCTTACTACCTCAATGAGAGGCCTAATGACCCAAAGCATGTACCTCATGTACAGAACAAGTTTATGGAAAGCTGCGGTATGCTTGACTACTACAAGACCAGCGAGCACGACAATGTTTGTGACCTTGCAGAAGCATTACAACGATATGAGGACTCTAGAAGTTAGCATATTGAGCAGCAGTCCGAAAGCGGCAGTGTTATGGATACAAGAGTGAAGGTCAATATTCTCAATGACTTTCTTAGCTGGTATTGGTCATCGACTGTGGTTGATTTGAGGTCGAGCTACCTGGTTTCTCCCAAAGCGGGCGTGTATCGATTTTGCATCAAGTGGACTGATCCGAACAAGCCTCCATGGGTAAGCTGCGCTTCTTCTTATTTCTGAACAAAGTGCTAACAAGTCTATAGAACTCGCAGGCTTGGCTACGAAACAATCCTCAGTACCACACCTCAATTACCCATATCAGTCTGAACCTTGACCTCGACCTGACATGCTCGAGAGGCTCCCCAGATCACAGACCTGGTGCAGAAGGCCGACGGTCTCGCGCCAGAATGTCCAAAGCACTTCACAGCTCGTGTGGCACCACCTCGGTCATGCTACCGAACCTGAAAAGCATTATTCTGTTCCTCTTGCAATGGAGCGATTTGAAGTCAGATTTGGCCGTCGGAGTTTCGTGACTGAGAAGGAAAGGGAACAAGAGAGAGACGTGGAGCACCTGAAGGCGGAGAAACAATTGGAGATGCTGTTGATGCCATATTCTATGATGAAAGAACTCGGGGACATAACGACTGCATTGGATCAGGTCAAGCCGGAATTAGACACCGTTGACGTTGAGCCCAGATGCCTCACGATGGGGGAAACTGACGGAATCCTAGACTATGAGGCTGGCACATTAATTTTGAGGAGCAGAGAAACTATCTAAAAGACTCTCTGCTACTAGAGAATAGGTCTGAATATTTGGAACCTGCAGGAAATATGGAAGGTCGTGGTAGCAGACGGGAGTTGATACCTAAGCAAGAACATTCATAGAGAAATGCAATTCTACTCTAGTCTTAGAATTAGACTTGACTTTAAATTCCAGACGTGGTAGTGGCTTCTGGAAGATCTCTATAGAGTGAACATTTGTTCGATGAAGTGCTCTAGAAGCTGGCTTTCGCTTGGAAAGCCGACGGCGCGGTTGGCAGAGATTACATGAGACAGAGCAGTGGAGATTAGATTTTGATTATAACTCAAGGCTGGTTTGAGAAGTACGATAGCTTTCGATCAAAGTGAAAAGGGGGATGCTGCATATAAACCAGGGCCATTCCCTTTTGCGAAGCGAACCATTCAAGACTGCTAGACGTTATTCTTTTTCTGCGGGAATTGCAACTTCAGCTCGTACAAGGGAAGAATACACCATTGGTAGACACTCCCACTAGGTTTATCTAGCACAGTCAAAACCGTGGAACAGAAGCACAGAGCAGAATCACGAGCAGCAAAAGAGACCTAGGAGTGATGCATTGGAAGGACATTATTTCATTACCATCATTGGGAGAAGTTCTCCCATGCCGCGCTTTTCCTTATACTAGGGTATCTCCAACAGTGACATATATGTACAAACAATTACATCAATTCTACAAGATCTCCTCGGGCGAAACAACGACCCAGTTCTTGTCCGCAGTTACAGCAAGACCATTTGCAGCTTGTCCTTCAGCGGCCTCGGTGATCAGGGTCTGAAGCTGCTCATACTTTGCAAGTGTACGATTGACCCACACGTGCACACCTCCCTTCTCAACGTCCACATTGAAGTGCATGTAGGTGTCGGAGCCAGGGGTATCTCCAGCTGCGAGGACGGGCTTCTTCCACATGTCGATGTAAGTCAAGACAGCCGCCCATTTGCCGGCGTACCAAGTGGCTGGTGTCCAGAGATAGGTTCCGAAAACCAGATCGAGGTTGGCAGTTTGGTTGTAGACACCATCGGTGATTTGCTTGCGGGAGGTAGTGAGATCTCCGGTGGTGGTATTCTTCATCAAGATCGCCACTCCCAGAACGTTCTCAGGTTTGATGTTGAGACCGTACTTGGGGTCTGAAACGACCATTCGTACGACTTCTTCGTTGGAGGCACTGACGACGTATGGAGTGATGCCGTTTGCAGCAAGCTTGTTGATGAGCTCAACTTGGCCAGTGTAGATTATTGGTGGGTTGATCTCCTCCTGTACAACCACATCGCCATCCCAGTATGACGTAGGAATCGTGGTGTTCAGCACCATCAAGTCATCGATGTGTGCCTTCAGCTCACGGATTGTGAGTCCTGAATAGACCTGTGCTGCCCAAGGATAGCACACCGCAGCATCGATCTCACAAAGGCGGCTGTAGTAGCCATACAGAGTCTCGGTATAGTTGGCGGTATCTTTGAAATCCATCAGCTTCAGCGAAGGATCGAGGGTTTCGCGAGTGATGACTCCCAGGTTCTCCAAGTAAGGCAAGGAGGACTCCTCGATGTCGTACCGCCAGATGGTATTATCGGCGTCGAAAACAGCGAAGTTCGACTGATTGGCGTTGAGAGTGATCATGCGGTCGAGTGCTGTAGCTTGTGCTGATGGCCAGTGTGACAGCTCAAGCTCATCGGTCTTGTTTTGACATGAGTATGGTGCAGCGTGGACGGCCACAGCTAAGGAGCCTGCGGCGATCGATCGGACGGCAAGCTTCATGATTGACTAGAGATGTCTTTTGAAGTTGACAGGAGACAGGTGGGGAGACAGAAACCTTCTTGCGAGTGATGGCCGCTCATATATACTGTACAAATGTTTATCTTCCAAACCTTATCTAGGAGCCGATAAGATCAACATTTGGGTAATCTCAGCCAGGTACGTAATTGATAAGATGTGGATGCGAAAGGTACGAGAACCCAGGTGCGAGGTCTTGGGATCCTTGGCTTATCATGATGATGATTGGGAAACCGGCCTTACCGAAATTATTGTGCACTTCGGCTCCTCCACTTCAAAGTCAAAATCGTTGCAGGGTTGGATGCCGAATAGAAGCCGGGCCGTGTAGATCAGCCTCTTCCATAAGTGGGATTCGGGTTTTGAAGGCACGATGAAGAACGCAAATAGCTTTCTGTCTAAATTCAGTGAGCAGGATTCAAGAGGCTGGTGCTTCTCATGATCTGAAATATGCCCGACTTGTACACTGGTGACACTCGACATGTTGATTAAAATAGGGGTTGGCGGAGAAGTGGGTATGTTAAGCGAAGATCACCCGGAGTACAGGCGCCCTACGCGAACACATCTCATCTCCTTGCTCCATCCGCATGGATTTGAAGGGGAATGTAGCATGGGTGGTCGGTTTACCAGTAAGACTGATAACCAGCTCGGGCGAGTACTTGTGAGTTCTATGGCAAAGTGCACCTTTTGGCTGCTGGGTCAACCATCTCCAACGTCAACATCGCTTCTGTTCAAGCCTCGGGCCAGTTAGATGTAAGGAAAGGAAGCTGCAGGAAGCTAGTAGATATATCTTGAGAGGAAATTTCCTCTTCTCTCTTCTTTCTCTAGATTCAGTAAAGCACTCACTGTGGCCCCCATACCTTCTGCTCTTGTATCGATCTCTGTACCCTGACTCCATAACAGCTTCTAAACAAGTTTTCTCGCCAGATGTTGCTGTCAGTCTGCCATACCGTAGTTCATGGTGATTTTCGGTCCTGCCAGTACTACTTCTGTAAGAGTTCGCTTAGCTTGGATTTCCTTCTCAGCCTGAATCACATTTCATAGTCCACTCAGGGGTCTTGGCCAGAAGGAGTGCTGACTCGCAGTTATCTAGTCCATTCCGTCGAATTGGTAGCATATCACAACCGCAAGGTCTGCGATATCTGGGCCCTAAATAATGCTGCATATTTTTTCGCATGCCGAAATACCTAATTCTGTCTCTCCTCGTCCCTTTTATACGTACCAACCTTGGTGTTTCATTTAGGCGCCAAATGCCCCGAGCATTTGTCCATGTGAGCAAATAAGTCTAGAGGTAAGTTAGAAAATGGTCCAAAGGTGTTATAGCAGATGTAGAATACCTCCATATGCCTCAGTCGAGTGAACCTCTTTTGAAGGACATAGTTTCGCTTCACTCCACCTTCTCGCCCGTTCCTTCCCTTCAAAATCGCTATCACTCATATCTACCAAAATAAGAGAAACCCATGCATCCAAAACGTGATGTGGGCTCGTAAGTCTCTTCCAACACCTCCAAACCGTGACTTGTCTAACATTTATCACAGTGTGGTCTAGTGGTACGATTCTTGCTTCGGGTTTTCCCTGAGTTTGTATACTCAAACATGTGAGAGGGTAAGTACAATCCTTGAAGAAACCTCAAACTTCCAATCTAACGAACAATAGTCCCGAGTTCGAACCTCGGCAGAGCCCTATACTTTGGGGAGTAATTTTTTTTTGCCTTTGCTAATTCGGAGACATACCTATATACAAGATTTGTTGTAGAGTATTCCATGTTGCTGATTACTCAGCCCCTAAACTTTTATTTATGTGCTCTAACGACAGCATAGATTTCCCAAGAGTTTTAAGCGACTGTTCAGGGATACTCGAGCCGATAATAATATATGTTGCTACTTATTGAAGGCTTAAGCTTCACTGAAAAGTATCTCAGTCCTGTCTGTCATTGCAAGGCAAGGATAACAACATCTCTTTTCATTTAGAAGGCTTAAGCCCAAAAGGTATTTAAGCCATTACTCACCAGGGTTTGTCGAGTTGGAGTCGGACTCGAGTCCTTGTTCAATTTCCCTTTGTGCTACCTGATTATTCTTCAAGACTGATATGCCGTTCGCCGTAAGATGCCTTCCTTTGCTTGTCGCTTAAGTGCTGGTGTCCCCAGAGCCAAGATCTCCTTTGCCGAGCTTTGCGGGGAGGGGACTGTTCGTTAGAATTTTCTCACCCCACTTTCGAATCACCTCGAGATATCAGATCCCGAACACGTTTTGGTCACATGGAAGTAATGTAACTGCAATTGTAGGCAGGCTGCTTTCATTGCGAAGATTTGTTCGGCAACCACAGTCATCAAGGTTAACACTTACACAGAGCCATTTATGAGGTTCCGCGATGTCACTGCTTACCTCGCATGGGTAAGGATGAGCCATGTCAGCACCCAATTTTCCCACCCGAGTCGATCTGAGTTTCCCGTGGACTCGTGTTGCAACCCAAACAGCCAATGGCAAACACCGTCGCTGAGATAAATCGTACCTGCATCCTACTCCATCCGCTTCAGGAAGGCGAGCTAAATGGCCAAGCCAACCCGCCCAGGACAGTGACATCTGCGCTTGCGTACCATCTCTTTTACCAACGCCAATCGCTCGCCACCATTGTACGAAAACCGCGCATGAGTCGGTGGCCAGAACCTGCCGTTCGGGGATCTTGTGGAAAATGTACGACGTGTGATTCGCGAGATCTTGTTATGAGGGTTGCACGAGGCGAGCCTCTTGGCCATAAGAGGGGGTGTGGTTCCCTGGTTAAATGCTGAGAGGCTTTTGGAACTTCGAGTTTTTCCGCGTGTGTGGTGTGGTTGTTGAGAGTTGGCTTTGAATTGCTGTGTAAGTTTTGTCCAAAGCAAGATTGCTGAAATATTAACAACTTTCCAAGGAAACTCGCTCACGTTGTCGCATCTGCCGATGAGGTGACCCGAAGTCACGATGTGGACTTCTCTTATCGTTCTTGGTTTAGCGGCATCAGCAACCGCTCAAACACAATACATGGCCAGAGCTGCATCGGAAGTTGCAAAAGCACGAGCGACAGCACTGACATTGAGTCCTACAAGTAATATTGTTGGCAAGAGATTCGATAGATTTGTGACGATATGGTGCGAGAATACAGATTATGCCATGGCAGCTGGAGATCGTATGTATCTTTTCCTCTTACCCCATGCACCTATCTCGTTCAACTTTGAATTCCTCATCTACCTCTCCAAGAATACCAGTGAACTAACTGTCCCAGCCAACTTTGCCTACCTTGCAACACTCGGCATCACTCTCAACAACTATGTCGCCATCACACACCCATCTCAGCCCAACTACGTAGCTGCAGTTGGTGGTTCCACGCATGGTGTCAGCAATGATGGGGTTTATCGAATTTCGGCAAGCAGTAAGACGATTGTCGATTTATTAGAAGCGAGAGGCGTGAGCTGGGGCGTTTACGGCGAAGATGCGCCGTACAGTGGCTTCCAGGGGAATTATGTCAACCAGAAGAATGGGAAGAACGACTACGTGAGGAAACATAAGTGAGTCCGACCATTTCATTAAGTCTGGGTATTTGAAGACGGCAATTTGAGCGATTCATTGATATTCATTGAGTTGGATTCTCTTGAATTTGAGACCAGGTAGAGAAAGTAACTGACAACGACTAGTCCTCTCATGAGTTATGATTCCGTCACATCAGACACCAATCGCCTTGCACAGAACAAGAACTTCACTATGTTCGAACAGGATTTGGAAGCAAACAGATTACCACAATGGATGTTCATTACACCAAACATGAGTATGTTGTTCATGCCCCCCCAGACCTGGCCTGAAACTGGCAGTACTGACTTCAACAGCCAACGATGGGCATGATACATCCGTGACCGTAGCAGGAAAATGGATGCGATCTTTCATCGAGCCTCTCTTAAGTAACCCGCATTTCGTGAAGCGAACACTCGTTCTCATCAGTAAGAAAATTCCTTCCTCAAGTTGCAACAAGGCGAAATGAGCGTAGCTGACAAGCTGGTAGCTTTCGACGAGACAGCGAATTACCTCAGCAACAACAAAGTCTTCTCCCTGCTACTAGGCGATGCAGTACCGATTACTGCGCATGGAACTATGAATAGTACTTCTTTCAATCATTACTCGCAAATGGCCACGGTGGAGCGGAACTGGGACCTAGGAGATCTGGGGTTGGGGGATAAGAAGGCTACTGCTTTTTATTGAATTTTGCATGCTGAGTTTGTTTTGTCATTAAATACCCATGAGCGCAGGAGCATAGATGGATAGATTTTCAATCAGAGCATGACCAAAGAGAGCATCCACGCTTGAAATGTTGTATTTTCAACTCAGATGTTGCTAGCAATCTCCTCCCAAGTCTCCGCCCACACCGCAAAATCCTCGCGGCAGGCTTGAGGAACTAAACCTTTGAACTGCTAATCATCTAACATTAAGGTTAGCATACAGTTTAACAGTTTCTAAGTCTAGAATCTCACGATAAGTACGAAAGAAATGAGAAGGGATCGACTCGCTCTCGCTTACCCTTTCTCCATCACCCTCCATCCATACCTCTAACCCCTTTAACAAAACGCCGCTCCAGCACACAACACGACCTTCTCATTCCTAACAACATCCTCAGCACAGCTCTGCGGACGCATCCGATAATCAACGCCATCATGCGCATAAGCAACCAGACGACCATCATCCGTCCAAGCTGCAAACCCGCGAATACAATCGAACCAGAAATGGTTGTCGAGTCCTCTCGCCTTGTTGCTTGCTGTGCATACTTGAACGCCGTTGTCTTGGATGAAGCCTTCCATGAAATTGCTTTGGACTTTGGTGAACGAGTTGACACAGCTTTTGGCTGTGGGGAGGAGGACTAGGAGGGAGAAGCTGAAGGCGGTGGTGGGTTTGAGATACATGGTTTTGGTTTTGAATGACGATTGGGGTTCAGGGGGAGTATGTTGATCGGAATGGAGATCTTGAGGATAGCTGGCTTGGTGTCTGGACAAAGTCACGAACAGAAATACGTAGGATTATTATAATCCGTTGATTCACGGATCAGGAGACCTTCTTCATTTCATTTCATTATATTAATCTTGCGCCTAAACTCCTCGTCACCCACATGCCAAGGATTTCCAGCTTTTAGGCGGCACACTCGATGCCGTTCTGGGGGCATGGTCTTGACGAATCCTATTAATAGTTCACTTCGTAACTTCAAGCTTTCTTATCTGGTGCCATGTGGAAATTATGATATTCCAGGCTGGTTAGATATTTCTTCGCCACCAAGTGGAAGTCCGTCAAGGGACGAGACGAGGAGGAAATCACTTAACGGTATCGAGCTAGTCATGGAATTTATGGCCATTCTACGATGTGGAAACGATTCCAATATTTATTTATCGAAGAATGAAGCAGGAACCGATGCAGAAATACCATTCCTTCTAAGTTAGGCGTTACTTCGATGAAGATGTTTATTTTGACGGTCGGTAAGCGAGAATACTCAAAAGCTAGCGATTAGTAGAACAACCATGAGCCAGCACCACCAATTTGTGCTTCAAACTCCTGGTCGGATTGAAGATCAAGAGATGGCTTTCTTAATTTTGCATTCTACTATCTTGGTAGTACGCGCTCTAATTATCCATGAGCACAAAAGTTTAGCTGTTCTCACGTGACCCCACCACAAAAATCTTATCGATAAGCCTCCCTCAAGCTAACAAGATCAACATCAAACGAACTTCTTCCTTTCACAACTATCACCCCAATTGGACCAAAATGGCTCAATATCGAGGGCTCGCTATCTTGGGAGTCCTAAGCACTGCTTTCCTGGCACTGGTTGCTAGTCTCATGCTGGCGGAGAGTAAATCTTCAAGCCCCACTCTCTACTGCCTCTCCAACCCCTCTTCATCATCAATCACAACGCTCAACTCGTCACTCCCGCATGCGCAATGCTTCAGAGTACAAGATGGACTATTCACCGAAGTTTTGGCTGAAATTCCGGGCGGAAAGGATGAGCATGTGATATTCCTGGATGGATATGTCCTTCCAGGAATCATTGAAAGCCACGGACATATTCTGCAGTATGGGGAGATGTTGGAGTCTGTCTCGCTGTATGGGGCGAATAGTATGGAGGAGGTGAGAAGGAGGATTAGAGCGTTCTTGGAGACTCATAAGGGTGAGGGGTATGGTTCGCGTGAAAAGTGGATTCGAGGCATTGGGTGGGATCAGGCTTTCTTTGGAGGGGTTATGCCCACAGCTGTAAGTTCCAGGGGATGAAAAGGAGGACTTTTAGGATTTCTTCCTGGGCTTTCTGAGACCATTTGTACTGATGAAAACGCAGAAAGAACTTGCTGAAGACCCAGCACTGGCAGATCTTTATATCATGCTTGACCGTGTTGACGTTCATTGTGTCCTCACATCTCAAAAAGTACTGGATCTTCTCCCAAGTCCTCTTCCAGAAGCACCACCAGGTGGTGTCGTCGTCACAGATCCTGGCCCAGGAGTATTCTGCGATAATGCCATGGATGTGATCGTCTTCCCCATTGCACCGAAACCGGACGTTGCACAGAAGACACGCTGGTTCAAGACCGCTTTAGCCGAGCTGAACAAGGTTGGTATCATTGGAGTTGGAGATGCTGGCATGAGGCCAGAGGACGTTGCTATTCTTGAAACTCTTGGTGAGAAGGG